TTGATGGCTTGGCTCAATTCCATGTCTAAATAAAAGTAGTAGTTTATTTTCTGTATTCAATCAGATTAACGCCTTGCCCGTAGAGTATTCTGTCATCGGGAGGCTAAACGTTTATTATCATCAGAGTTTAATTGGTAGGAAAGAGCAATGATTTATTGCTTCATAGTTGAATTTGGAAGTTCTATTAAGTTTTACTGCTCTGGTTATGGTATTAGACATATGGCTATAGCAAAGGAACACTGTTGTTTAAAACTCTTGAGGCTTTTAGTGTCAGGCCTAAGGGGTGTAACTAATGACAAAGTAGTTTCAGAAGTCTGTTTTACATCTCAAGTGTCACCATAAAGCTGAAGGAAAAATGTGTTCATCAAATTTGGCTTGTCGGCTGGCTGTAGTCAGGACGTTGTGCCGTCTGTTGCATGGGGACTTGCTGACAGCTAAGAATATATAATCTTTTTAAAGCTGAACCCCAGGCAAGCAGCTTAATACACAGATGAAATACTTTTAAGGACACTGTTTTATTTGACAAAAGATTTGTATTTCTGTCCACCCAGTCCAAAGATTGTCCCAGCCCCCTCACAAAGCACTGCCAGGTGGATCACACCCTTACAAAAGAACTATTAGTTTTGCTGTGTAAAAATCACACGCACCTGGTGCGTGCATGTGTTTAGGTTAGTAAATCACCCCCAAAAAGTATTGAGGGTAGAAGAGTCTGCACAATCACCAGGACACTACCATTTCCAGGAGAAGGTCAGAAAAGGCAGCCACCATGTGTTTGTGTGGACAGGTTTTCTTTATATTGTAGTTTGTTTATATTTGTGTGCACCAGGTATGTTCCTAGTAAAGATGGAAAGTCTCTTTCCTGCTTTAAGTGTAATCAGAGTCACTATACTTCATTGTTCATTCTTACCTTGGTGTTAGTCTATTATTAGAGCTCTGTCAGCAAAATTCTATAGAAAACAATATTTAACTTTACAAACTAAGCATGAAACACAGATTTTAAAAAGTTAGCACAATTTAGATATTTAAAACAAAGGCAAATGCCAATCATATTTACAGCTAAAAAAAGAAATCAACCAGTAAGTGTAAAAATACGGTTGTGTTTAGATACACCAGCATTGGGGCTGATTTGCTGATTCTGGGTTCATTATTTAGTGCGTCACGGACCTAAAACGGGTTAGGAGTTAATGTTTCAGACTTCACTTCCTACATACCTATTCCAAGGCAGTGAAGCCAGAATCGGCATTCCAAATCCTTTTAGCCTCTTGGATAATTTTTTTTTAATGCGCAAATCTGTTTAGCCGCTCCTCCTAACATGTGCGCCTGTTTTCACCAGAGCTTGCACTATTTTTCCAACTGCGAGTGTTTTGTGAAAGTTCGCAACTGTTTACATCTGCACTTGTCCAGCGGATGTTTGAAACTGGAGCATTGCCTAACAAAAAAATTGCAACTTAAGATGTCCCCATGACCACTTCTTCAAGAAGCGACAGTTAAGCTTTTTGCTTGGAGTTACGAGTCTTCTTTCATGGAGTCTATTAAACCTCATTTATCAACAACATTACACTAGCAACATAAATCTGACACAAAGTGCGTCAAACATATTCCATGCAAGTTCAAAGTCGCAATTGCTATGATAAATTCCTCCCAATGTCATCAGTGGAAGCAACTATGCTAATATATATCATATTTATATCCCAACAGTACAAACCATCTGTAATTGTGTTTGTCAGCAATCTCGTTCATGCTTGCTGTAAAAAATGTCCCATTTAAAAAAAAAATCTGGAACCTCTGTGTAATTCATTGTAATAGGTTTATGAAGTGCTGTCCCTGCTCACAGGTGGTAGAAACAACAGTTTATACATGAAGCATATTGAATGTGTTAGGCCCTTTTCAGACGTGTGGTTGGATCAGGTGCGCCTGTCAGTTTTTCAGGTGGATCTGATGGAAAGCCCAATGTAAAGCTGGCCATACACCTATAGATTATCTGCAGATTTTCTATGTTCAGATAGAAAAAGAGCAATAGATTCCTCCATCTACGCTAAACTGTGTGGATGGAGGAATCTCCTACTGGGCCAAGCTTCAGTATCTTGCTAGTCGGCCCCGCTGGCTCTCACACTACCTGAACAATGCCTGCATCCAATCCGATTGTTCAGGTATTTTGACATCCAGCAGGGCTGACTAGCAAGATACTGAGGCTTGGCCCAGCGGTAGATTCCTCCATCCACACAGTTTAGTGTAGCTGGAGGAATCTGTTGCACTTTTTCCATCTGACCATAGAAAATGTGCAGATAATCTATAGGTGTATGGCCAGCTTTAGGCGTGGAGCAGCATCTGATTGACCCTGAAAACCCAAACAGAGCAGATTTCTGTTTTGGTGGACCTGATCATGATGGATTGAGAGTAATCTGATTTAAAAGAATATGTTACTAACTCCTGATAGACCTAACATGGGTCTGGTAAGTTCAGTTTCTTCCTCCACAAAATGGAAGAAAAGATATCCGTTCTGTACTGCTCCAATCAGCAGGGGCCTATGTATAATATAACATTCCAAAATTGCTACTTTCATGGAGTGAACTGTCATTCCAGCTAAGCAGAGCTGAGGCATCCTCGGCAGTAGTCAGACACTTGTCAATACATATTCATCTTTTTTCTTATTAGGGGAATACTGTGTTACGCGATTCATGTGATATAAGCCTCCATTATACCAAAGCCTCATTAGAGAATATGGTATACTGGTGTCTTATATATTAAAAATGCATAAGACAAGATGAGCAGACCAATTTTCAGGAAATAACTTGCCCAATTATGAACTCTTTTGATCTAACTTAAAGAGACACTGTCATTAGGATACATCTATTTTACCAATACCACCTCCTTTATGTCAAATCTTTGCTCTCTTAAAGAGCTAGAAGGATCGGGAGAATCTTCAGCATCTCACACTTCAGATGCATTGGATGCCTGCTTCTCCCCACCACACACTGGGGTTGTATCCACTGGACGCTACCTCGCTAGTGTAGATCTGGATGTGGAGGATGCTGAGTATTATAAAAGGACAGTGTCTATTTAAGGAAGAACGCCAGACAAAACTTCTATTAACCCTTGCAGTGGGGCTACCTACGCACTGCAAAGGTTAACTGCTCATTTTCATTAAGGTGCTTAAATTAAAAAAAAGTTATTTTCACTTGTGGTAATGATGGTATGTGCCTTGGCATCCTCACATTCAATATACATTGTATTAGACGTGATGACTCAAGGATCCTTAGACCACTGCAGCGGAGGGGAGTATGGCTAGAATGATTGGTCTAAAAGCAAGCCAGGGTCAGGGTTTGGGTGAGTATAACTTTTTTATTTTAGCTCCCTAGACAATACGAGCACTTAACCCTTGCAGTGCAGGGGTATTCCCACTGCAAGAGTTAATAAATGTTTTGCCCGGAGTTGTTCTTAGAGAACAAATGCCAGTCAAAACTTTGTTTTTTCAAGTAGACATAGAGTGGGGAAAGTTTACACAATTCTGTACATTTATCTAAACCGAAAAACAAAAAACTAGGCGCTTACTAGACATGTGCACTGGCAGAACATTCGTTTAGTTTTGGATTTTGTGTTATTTAGTTTTTTGGGATTCTGGTGTGAAAGTCAATTCGGATTCGGACGAAATTCGTTAGCGGTAGTTCGTTCGAACATTCGTTTCGTTTTGTTTTCGTTTCGTTCATCCGTTGCAGTAAAGTGACATTTGAGGGGAAAATAATGTTTTTCTCCTTGTCTAATGTCACTTTGCTGCAACGAACACGAAAACGAACTACCGCTAATGAATTTGGGAAACGGAAATTCGGATTTGTTTGCATTCGTTAAATCTGTAATTCGGATACATCCGAATTTTTCGAAAATTCATCCGAATTTCGTTTCGGAACGAAACGAATCGCACATGTCTAGTGCTTACACACAGTCAACTTCTCCATTCTTTAGGGGGCAGAGAAGCATAAGTTAGGTAATGTTATGTGCTGCTGGGCTTGGCTTTAAAAAGACCTTACCCACTCGGGCAAAGCAAATTTTCATTTTAACTTGGCCATCTCATTTATGTGAAAGAATACACAATTACTGTATAATATACTGTAGTAACTTCACTGAATAAATGCAAACATGTTATCTTTTTTACTTTAGTTTGATGGCAAGTGGCATTGTTAACAACGCTTAAGTTATCTAGCTCAAGTACCTGCTTTCTGCTTTGTTAGTATTTATGTGTAGAAACTGACCACCATGGACTTATCCAAATATTGTCACTTGCTAGAGGCCTGGTTGGCTCTGGTTTGAAAACATTTGAGTTGCTCACTACTTTAGAACACCTATGCAGCAATCATAACTCCAGGTCTGCATGTTACTTCTGGGTCTATGAGTATTGAAGCCATCAGATTAGCAGGACAACAAGGCCACTAGAATTCTGAGAAGAAGGTCAGCAGTGGCAGCCTATATTTGTCTCTCAGTACAGGTTTTTTTTTCACGTATAGTTGTTTTACGATTTACATTATTGTGCAGACTTGTCTTTTTTAGGCGTACAAAATGTGGCATGCATTTTTAAATGTTCTCTTTCATTTTCTAAGAAGAGAATATAAATCTGGCCATAAAAATGTTTTCTGTTCCCCAGAAATCTCAGTTTATGTGCGCAAACAAAAAGAACCAGTAGACCACTTCTCATACCTTACCTGGAAAGAGGCTTTATTGAACATAGCTGTAAAAGTTTTCTTTTTGTTTCAGTTGAATAACTGAATCAGCATAAACATTTCCACAGAATCCAAAATAAAAATAAAATAAAGAAAAAAAAAAAAATTCGAATCTGGTCATAATCTACGACATTTTCTTGTGCTTCAGTTTTTCTCCTTTTAAATCAATTTCAGCAATGTTAAATATGTTTTTTTTATTTATAGCCCAATTGTTTGCATAACATTTTTCATCAAATGTTTGAAAGAACATAAAAGAATAATTTTTTTTTGTGTAGATAAAAGTATTTGTAAATGAAGTTAAAATTTAAGATAATTTAAAGAAACCAAAAATATTTTCAAATGTTCATAGCCAAAGTTAGAAGGGACATATACAATGCATTGAAAAAGTGGCTGGTTAAAGTATGTATTTAATCAGGTAGCTCAGTAATTTTTTTTTTTACAGTTTTATGTAAAAGTGTAATATCTTTTTTTTTTCCAAACTTGCCAAAATAATAAAATACTATGTCACAATCTGCACAGAGTTTGATTAGTGGGCAGAGGCATCGGACCCTCAAATTTTGAGATCAATAATTCAGACCCGGAGATTCTGCCGGGGTCGAACACATTGCAGTCTGCTGCTCAAAACGCTTTCCTCTTAAGATCAGACTGATTTCATTTCAAATGTAGATAAGAGTAAGAAAATGACTTTCCCGTTTCAAAAGGAGGAAAAAAAAAATGAAGATTGAAAGTCTATTGACAACTTTTCAAACTACTTCAGTTACCAGTAATATGAAAAGTTGTTCCTTCCCAGTTGTGTTGAGATTTCCTTTTTTTTTTTGTCAAACTGATAATGCGCAAGAAGGCCATGACTGTTTTTTTCAAAGGTGAAACAAATGTTAAAAAAATATGACGTTTAAGATCTTATGCAGCAACATAAGTTTATGTACTTCTGTAGCAATTTTTGTTGTTGTTGATCTGGCCTGTGTTCTCTTCTTGTGGACTGCAGTTTGCATATAAAACAGTTTGTTTCTTTATTTTTATTTTTTTCACAAACCACTCACAGCAGTGCAAGCTTGTTTAGCTAACTTTTTCAGGCTTGTTATTTGAAGGCACTTGGTTTCCTGGCAATTTATAAAAGGTGGTGGTTTGGTTCCTTTGTTACAACTGATGGACTTGGTAACTTGAACTCATGGTCGGTCCACAAGCAAAATCCCAAAAGCTGAAAAAAGCTTGTAAGACTGAGCTGCTCTTTCTTGGAGACGACTACATGCAAAAAAGATATAGCATACCTTTTGTAGCAAAGCTGTGATAAAATGGTATACGTGTTCTACAGAGGTTCAGGTTTGAATGGTGGCAGCCAAGGCAAGAGGGCTTACGCAGACTTGTTCCTTACTAAAAACCTTCTTGAACTGAAAATGAATGCCAGATCTTGGTGTACCCTGTTAACTGTGAGGTTTAGGTTGGCAGGCCATTAGGTGTCCATGGTATCAAGCAAACTCTTTTCATTTGAAAGAAAACCAGCCGTGACGTTGTGCTTTGACAAGGATTTCATAATTCCTTTTTTTTTTTTTATAAAGAATATTCAGATTTTACTGTATTTGTAAAAGCCACAGAAGCACTGTGAGGTCTGCTCTTATATTTCAGGTCTCAAGTGTAGTTTATAGTCATGTATTTTCCAATGTTCTGTTAATTCCCAGTGCCCTTGTGGAGGAATCTTTGGTAGATTGTTTTCTAGATGTCCATTTACAAAGACTCTTTCTTCATACCAGTGCCTAGTGAATCTTTTGTAGCCTCTGCCAAAGTATGGTCACCTTTGATGACTTAATAAAGAAAAGAAAAGGAAAACCGGATACAGCCATATATGAACTAAAGTCCCAGACACTTTAACACCTGAAGGAGGAGCTGAAAAGAGAAAATAAAATCATGTAACTATTCAACACATAATATTTTGGATATTTAAAGCGGGACTCTAGCAAGCATTAGATATATGCAAAAACATTTTTTTTTAAAGTTTAGAAAGGGTTTAAACTTACCTGTGTCTCCACCACACGCTCCCATCCAAAGATCTGATGATTGCGCCCGCAAAGGATCATGGGTCGGGTGCATGTGCAGTACAGATCTTCGGCTGGGAGACTAGGAGAGACACAAGGCAAGTTAATGCAGCAGCGTGCACCCGCACAGACCTTGTGGGACAGGAAGAGACAGGAGTCAGTGCTGGATCACAGACCGGCACCAGTGCTGGAGGGACTCCTGAAAACTACTGGAAAGAAGATGATAATCGGATCAAGAGGCATCATTTAAGGTAAGTCCTAACACTAGCAGGGTGGGGGTAATTTGCCTTTAATGACACTTTAAGTCTGGATCGTTGCAGCGTACTGTAAAAATCATAGTTTCAATGATGCCATAAAGTAAAGCCAGCGCTGCAGCTGCGAGTTTGGCCCTTATGCAGTGAAGGGATCCTGTCGTTCAACCCTCCATCCTATTCCCTTGTCCATTCACAGAACACATTGGGGGGGAATTTATCAAGGGAGTTGCTCCACTTTTCTTTAAGTGACAAATTTTCCACGTTATTTGCACCTTATTTATCAATGCAGTCTAAGCCTTGATAATAAATGTCATTTTCATTAGACATGTTGGGGGGAATTTATCATACCAATTGCGAGTGTTTGAACTTGCACGGAATATATTTGCACCAGATTTATCAAGCTAGTGTAATGTTGTTGATAAATGAGGTTTAATAGACTCCAGGAAAAAGACTTCTAACTTCAGGCAAAAAGCTTAACTGTTGCATCTTGAAGAAGTGGTCACGGGGACTTCTTAAGTTGTGACTGTTTTCTTAGGTGATGCTCCAGTTTCATACAGCCCCGGAACAAGTGCAGATAAAAACAGGTGAAAAAAACATGCAGTTGAAAAAGTGTGCAAGCTCTGAAGAAAACAGGTGCAAAACAGGTGCAAAAAATATGTGCAGTTGGAAAAGTATTGCAAGCTTTGGGCAAAACACCCTCAGTTGGAAAGGTAGTGCAAGCTCAGGTGAAAACAGGGGCACATGTTAAAAGACAGATTCGCACATAAAAAAAATGATCTAAGAGGCTAAAACTGTTGTAATTGCTTTGATAAATTCCTCCCCCCCCCCCCACCGTATGTGAATACAGAAGCAGAAAGAAGTGGCAGATAAATGACAGGATCTTACGTTGTCTACTAACAGAATGTTTTGTATTCTGTTCACAGAATACAAGGCATTCTGTGCATGGACAAGGGGAGAGAATGAGGCAGGTAAACGGTTAAATGGTTTGCATAGGTTTTTAAAACATAAAGATACAAAAGTTTGTTTTCTGAGCAAGTTATACAAGGGGATGTCTGGGAATCTAAAAGTGGCCATACACTGCCAGTATTAGCATTTGCTGACACACAGTAGAGCATTGCTTGTGATCAATCCAGAGAGGTGAAAAAAAAAATTGTGAATCATGACATGCTCATTTCTGTATGCAACAAGGGTAAAGGTAATTGAACCGAAAAAAAAAATATTGCTAGAGTTAAGGAGAGGAATTTTGGAATATAACAGACCACAGATACAGAGCAGCTCTTCACCATTCTGGTTTCCATGGCAACTTGCAGCTCATTTGGTATCATCCTTACTAGTGCACTAACAACTCCCATATAATTTACCTGGTGATTGCCAACCAGGACAGTGAAGAACCACTGTCTACATCTAAGGTCTGTTTATCTTGAACTTTGTGTATGCATAGAGTTGGGGGCCTTTGTCTTTTTAATTTAAACCACATTTGCATATATGATGATGTTTAATAAAACATGTGCTAAAGATCACTATGTAACTGGGGACATAACAGTTTATACATAGATCCATTACAGTAGTGTGATGAGTTGAATTTGCATGGGCATATGAATAGAGTTTAAGAACCTTGCATTAGGAAAAAGTCTAAATAAGATCAACTCTCATAAGGCTCTGGAAGAGACCAAAAACATAGGATGGCCTGGAAAAGCCTGAGGTTAAAGGGTTGGTCTAGTAAAGAAAGAGCCATTGGTTACAAGTATGTCTGGTGTTGTGTGATCACCTGCAAGCTTTATATCCTATATTTACACTTGAAAATTCTAGGGGTGTTCAGGCCCACTTTAGGGTGTTTATGCTGCTCCTGTTGCATTGTTCTTCATAAAACATTAATTATAAACTCAAAAGGGTGAATGGGAACCCTTCATAATGAGCACAGTAGGAGTGAAGAGATCTCACCACTAGAGTCTCTAATTGAAACTAAGAAATATTAAGGTGATTGAAGTCTACAGCATCTATCAAATACTGAAATATCTACCACTATAAAATAAACCTTTTCCGAGAGAATAGGTACACTGCCATTGTTGGAACTAACCCAGGCCTGGAACAAGCATGTGGATCTGGAGTTCCAACTTCACTCTGACTTTCTAAGCTGCCAGGTTAGTTAGTCAAAAAATATTGAAGACCAGAGTCAGCCAAGCTCCAAGTATTTATAAATGAAGACCAGCAATGGCAGCTCCCACATTCCCCTCAGTACAGGTTCCTTTAAAGTTTAGCCTAGGGGATAACTAATATGCTGAGCTTGGGAGCACCCCAATCACCTTTAAAAGAAACAAATTAAACAACATGTATTGCAGACAAAATTAAACACATACTAGTGGCTGGCTGATCCATCCTGGTACATTCTCCTTCTACGATTGATACATCGTCTATGGCGATATCTCCTTCTATACCAGGACCTCGAATGCCCTCAAATATTATCTGAAATAGGAAGCAGTGTGAATGATGGTAAAAAAAACTGAACAATAGGATTTCACCTTAAAATTCATTTGTTTTGTGCTTATTTATATTTAGATATTTAGATTAGTCTAGCTCTTCTGGTGATGTGATGACTATCTGTTGTACAGAGCGGCAGCACTAGAATAAGAACATCTCTATTGCAGCTTACAGTCTGAAGTATATCTACACTATACTTATACTGGTCTTATAGAAAGAAGATCTATTAGGCTGTTCCAAAATGTAATGTATATAAAGATTTGGTTGTCATCTGACCCCATGTTCACAGGCCCCACAGAAGATACATAAATTGTTGTGAACCTCCCAGTTCAGTCTGTTTGAGTTGCAGGGGGGAAAGCAAAACTTCCAGTATGTACAGATGAAGAATAGTGCTTGTGTTCTCAGCTCCCTCTATAGTCAGGTTCTCAACTCATCTTATAGCTGGTGTACCCTGACTGTAAATGTACCACATGTATTAGGTCTTTTAACTAGACTGTTGGAACAGTCATTTTACAGCTGATTTCAACATATATTGTTCTATGAATTCTCTCCATTAATGGATATAAGCTGGGATGACATATCTTGGCTAAAGGAGAACAACAGACAAAGGGGACAGCAGCTCTAACTCATCTTATCTCTCACACTGGCACCAGTTTGGCTAAGAACAACAATCCCCTCAACCCCGCCACTGTGATTTTTTTACCCCTTCTGTTAAAAGCTTAACAGTCTGAGATCGGTTGTCATGCTAGTACTGACTTCACTGCCTAGCAAGTCCGTTATCTAAAATAATAATGTGACCACTAAATGAGTTATAAGTGGGTTAATATTTCTCCTGCATGCTTGTCCCAGGTCAATGATTGACTAGGTAATAAGTCCAGGATCAAGATGACCGATTTAGAACCTGCACCTTTAAAACAGCAGCCATGGCAGTTCAGGTATGGTTTTCCTAATAGGTTCCCTTTAAAATAACCCTGTAATGAATTATGATAGTGTAGAATGTGATATAATTCTTAAATTTACTGTGAATGTCTGTGGATGGAACATCACAATAATATATATAGATATTCAGTAGAGACCAATAAAATGATGCCATTGAAATACTGTGAGCACTGTCCTTGCGCCATTTGGCTTACAGTGAGAAGGAAACATCATATTCTCTTATTTAATTATACCATGAGTCATTTTAATGTTGGGCAGTTTATAATTCTAAACCGACTGAATCCTGTGAATTTACAAATGTTGTTAAAATGAAAAAGAAAAAGCACTGTACTTTGTTATACACAAACACCCAAGATAGAATACCTTGATTCAATCATTCAACACAGAAACCTCACAACAGCTTCAATCGCAAACCTATAAACAAAGAGTGGGCCCTGCATGTCATGGTAGAATGTTAATTCAGACTAGTTTCTTGCAGATGTAGCTCATCACTAAAGTAAACATCACTTCCTGCATTCAGAAACCAGGGAGGAGAGCGGAGGGAGATCGGGTACTAACTCCCTCTGTTCTCAGTGCACGGAGCCACATCGTCCATCCCGTATTGGATGCCCGGGATCGTGGCGGGGCCGTCGACCATGAGAAGAGGTAAGGAGGGGAGAGGGCACACAGAGACATGGAGCATACAAGTGACTGGGCGTCTTTACAGACGCTGGACCGCTTGCATGTAAACGGCCTTCACGGGCCAGGGGGCGCGTGCAAGCGGGCATTAAGGATGTCTAAAGACGCCCACCCGCATCCAAAAGACTCCCGTCTGGCCATCTTTCAATGTTCGGCGGACGGGAGGTGGCTAAAAAAAAAAAAACCAATAGCTCCATCGCTGTAATCCAGTATCATTTACGATGAATGATGCTTGCTGACTCGCGTTAATAAAAAAAAGTCCCACCGCACGACATCCCGGCGAAGACTCGCCGCAAAATTACACCGTAAACAAATAGGCGGAGCGAGGCGTGACGTCACAGGGTGCATTCCGCCCATTTGACATTCTCAGCTGTCATATAACACAATAGCATTCGGGAGCTCCCGAATGCCATTCGGGTCTGTGAGCCGAGGTGTCACAATACTATTTATATGACATAAATTTATTTGATGTGTTTGAAGTTCAAGCCCATTTGAAGTCTTGCACCTTTTATAGCCCTCTATTCACCATGCTATGATTTGCGACTTTGTTTTTTTTAAATTGGAAATACCTTAATTTGCTTTTTTCTCTCAGTGCATAATGGTGCTACCAGCGCTCCCACTCTGCACTCTTTTCCGCCATTGCCCCAACCCTCGGCACAAATGTCCTCCCATAGAGTTGTATTACACTTGTGTCTGACCAGTTTTGTTACATATTGCTGAATACTAAGAGCACTGGGGTCTAACTCTAGTGCCTATAGCACTGTGCAGTCATAGACACCATAAATACCTGCTGTAACAGGAAAGTGGTGGTATGACAAGTAAAATGGAGGTTATTACAATGCAGATCTATTTCCATGACTTCAATTGGGCTTAAGAAGAGATTACCCCCAGATCTCACACTTTCCCATGGATTCTAGAAGTTCACCCATGTCTAGTAAAAGGTGCCCATCTGAAATGAAACCATATAGTTAAACTGTACAATCTGTTTTAAAGCAGACTATGCGATTCTCTATAAACCTTTTGGGATTTAGACATTATGCTTTAGGTGAGGGGGTGTTTTTTCTTTCTCCTCTGATGGTCAGAACAAGTAAATTTTATTTATCCCTTTAGGCCAATTATAATCCATCTGCAGGATGATCATTTAGCTTCTCCTGCAAGTCACCAGTCTGTGTTTATTGCTGCAGCGTCAATGTGTCAAACAAGAACATCTAAGTGAATGATTTGCTTTTACTCAAATGGGTTTCTGCAGACTCTCTAAAGAAAAGGAAATCAACGTTTTTAGTAAAACAAACCAGCTTGAACCAAGGGTAATGATTCCACCTGTCAGATTGTATTTCACATTTTCCTTCCAAACTCTTGTGTGCATGGTTTGTAATGAGTCCACTTACTTTACTGGCTGTATAGCTAATTGTTCCGAGATTAAAAAGTTATACCAAAACTAGAGTACAAAGTATGAAAAATATTTTTGTTGTTTCACTGAAGGCATTTAATTCCCACAATTGATTTCAGGCACCTGGCTGACTTTAGACACAGGAAACAGAGGGAATGGCCTAGGACCCAGCCATACAAGAAACAATTTATGCCAATGTGTCTATCCCTTCTAAAGGAGATGTAAGGATAGACAATGATATGATTTTTGTTCTTCAACTTTTCTCAATAGATTGTGGTCTTCATGCCTCAATGAGTTGAAAACATTTATAAAGGGTGGGGGCTTTTAAATAGCAGTTCCAGCTACCAGTTCATGGTAGGTTTTAGCCAGGTGAAAAAGAAGGCTGTGCAGTATGTAAACTGTACTTAAAGGAGAACTATGGGGTTGGGGCGTCTCCCCATAGTTCTCCTTAGGGTAACGGGAGGACACAAACTAGCGTCCTCCAGTCACACTAAGCTCAGTATGCCGTGAGCTACAACTCGTGGTATACTGAGACGCCGCAGCTGAAGCGGATCACGACAATTATGTCTGGATCCGCCCAGCTGCGTGAGTGACAGCTGGCTCTGCCTATCTAGAGGCAGAGCCAGCTGTACCCGCCCCCTCCCCTGTCCATTCCGCCAGTCAGCGCTGGAGGATCGGAGCGGGGAGGGGGGAATCCAGCCCCTCCCCTGTCACGGCAGAAAGCCGTGACAGGATCGAGAGGTGAGCGAACGCCGGTATGTGTTCGCTCACTTCTCGATCTACTGAGCCGACCTGTGACAGTCTCATTGTCACAGGTCGGCTAGAACTATGAGGTGAGTGAAAAGCACTCACCTCATAGTTCTCCTTTAAGTAATGGTAGTGGGTACAGATGCTATTTTTTAGTCTGTTGCTCAAGTAACTGTATATTGGCTTTTTCTTGATCTGCAAGCTTGTTGTAGAGTCATCTGGAGTTGATTTACTAAAGGCAAATGTGTGTGTGTTATAAAGTAGTCACCGCTCCAAGCTCGCTCTTGTGATGGACTATAATCTGACGTTTAGTTTATTAATTTGTATTGAGATTGTAGTCCATCACAGGAGTGATCTTGGAGCGGTGACTACTTCTGAACACACACAGGTAACATGGGGAACAAAAGTAGTCAGCCTCCAGAAGGAAGGACAGTGTCATCACCAATTCCGAGATGATTTGAGGATCTACAGCCGAGTGATACACAAATAATAAACATTTTCGTTAATAGTTAAGGGAATTGAATGTATTTTTAAGATTAAACTTAGTATCACTTTCTATTTGCAAGGGAATTTGCACACAGTCATTTTGCTTGCACAATAATAGATGATGACTTAAGCAGCGCTTCACTTAAATGACTAAAATAAGAGGAAATTTCCCCTGCAAAATGCTAATTTTATTGCAAAGTTATCAGCCTAATTTGCATTTAGCAAATCAATCCCATTGTATTGTATTAGAAATTATTACATTCAGGGATAGCCAGGCAACCATTTATAGGTGATCAGCATTCGCAGCTTGTGTATTCTCTCTACAGATTATCTTATAGTACCCTTGGATCAAGCTGTACACAGGGCCTTGGCTTATTTCCAAATCACGAACAAGCCCTGCCCTGTTGGGCGAGGCATTTGTGAGCTGTGCTGTGTCTTGGAAGCTACTGACGTTCCAGCAGTCCTTTTCTTTTGCATGGCAATCAGTACAATTAGAAAAAGTGTCAACCAGAAAGACATAGCAAAAAGAAGAAGCATGAAAAGATGGGAATAAAGGTGCCTTCTGGAAGTATTGGAAGCCGAGTTGGGCCAGGTTTTTGTTTTTAGACAAACTCTATTTTTTGGCTTCTATGGCTTATAATACTATTTTTGGCTTCTATGGCTTCTTCTACTCTGGTAAAACAGTACAAGGACCAATGCATCAAAGTCAAATGTTTACCTACCTGAAATGAAGTAGTTGGATGTATAGTTAGACGGGCTTGATGCCACTGTTCCCCTTTATTCCCACTAGTCGACCAAATAGGGATTTCAGTGTTAGTTTGCCCTTTTAATCGGAGGAATATATTCAAACTCCCTAAGCAAAATGACCGCAAAAGAAAAACGGTTTAGTTTTTATGACATGTCAAGACATACTGTCATTCTAAAAATAATTTACATGGTTCTACCAATAAAACAAGATGTTAAGAAGTAAAAGAACCAGAGAAACTAATGACAAATACTTTCTATATCATGCACACACAGTTGTAGCAGTTTGTCAGGATGAATGGAGATCCAGTAGTCTTTGTAGCAGTCTGATTGGACTGAATCATATCAACTACACATGGTACATGGCATGATGTCTCAAGCTGGACTGTACCATTTTTCTGATGTAATAAAGGTAAAGACATTTTCGGCTGAAACGTAGGTAAAGACACTTGGGACGGACACAAGAAGCCAAACTGAAAGCAGTGTTTTTTAACATACCCACTCTCCCCAGCAAACTATGCAGTGGAGACTTGAACCACACTCACTCTAAGCATGGACAGGACAGCAATAACTATCACTAAAGTAGCAGCTGATAAGCATTTTTTTTAACTGAATAATGTGCAAGTATATGAGAAAATAGGAAAAACAATGTAAAAAGACGATAGATATACCGTACATGTATTTATTTTATGGACAGTGGCTATGGTAGGGGCACACTAGCGTCCCTACCACAGGCATCAATGTAGATACCAGCTGTTCACCATACAGCACTGTAGGGTGGTGCTAGTAGTGAGAACAGCAAATGGTGCTGCATTATATTCCAGAGTAGATGAAGATAATTCACCAGCACTCAGTCATTCAGGATGCAAACATAATCTTGTTTATTGTGAATACATCACGTACGTGACCTTGACAAAATGATTCTGCGTGGCACCATAACTTTGGCATTATGTCCTATGTGATGTATTTGCAATAAACAAGATAATGTTTGCATCCTGAAAGACTGGGTGCTGGTACATTATCTCCTTCAACCCTGCTACGGGCAGACTTCTGTGTGGATGCTGATTAACCTCCTAGTATAGTTTTGAACTGTGGGTAAAACTGGAGCTCATAGAAACAAAAATACACTGAGAGAAAATGTCATCTCCATGTATGTAAGTGAAATTAAACCCAGGATCCCAGGACTGCAAAGTCACAGTGCCAACCACTACGCCAATATAACGTCTATAATCGCTCTCACGTGTTTATCGATATGCTTTAAATTGCAGCTTTTATTCATGAAGGCCAGCTTATATCTATAGATAAAAGCGAAGTTATGTTTATAAGTAGGTGTAATGCGTGTGTGTGCCTTTGCATATTTTGCATCACATTTTCTAAAGACCTCTCTGGCTACACTAGACAACCATTTGAATTGTGCGGCATTAAAGCATTTCTTTGGGTATAAATTATTACAGAAGATTACGGTACATCTACTAAAGCTCTTGAAAAGTTCATAGAGTTAGTGAGCAATGTTTGTGATATATCGATCAATATATATATATCCTTTATTTTCTTTGTGTACAGGCTATGAAAACTATAACATTAATCCTCAGTGACACATTACCATGTTCTAGCCAACACCAGAGATAAGAAATAGTTTAAAAAGCCTGATTTGGATACTTAAATCGAAAAAATGTAGCAAGGTTTAAGTCACTAACCTAAAACACATATATGTGTCTGTAAAGTCTGAGTAACAGCAAATATTCCTATTAGCATGCTTGTTCCAGGTAAGGGACAAAGTATTGAAGCGAGGAGGGTACAAATGACAGCCAAAAACTAGCATTTGCAGAATGAGGAGTAACAATGTCAGCCTTTGGCCTTTCCAGGAAACTTTTATTTTATTAACCTCATTGTACAAACCATAGCAGATCTGCAGAATGCTAATTGATGGTAGTTCTGGAACTGTGCATTAAACTTGTGCATTCATTATTTATTATATTCATTTTTATATAGCAGTCTCTGTTCCCAGAAATCCAACACCTTTACGGCATATGCCAGGGCCAGTTTCAGCGTAATCCAGTTAACATTTTTGGATTGCGTTACAAAAAGAACCCAAAAGGGTAACACCAAATAAACTGACTTTTTTGGTACCCAAGAAGAGGTATGTACAACTATCTATAAAAGTATAAACACTTCATTAGGATCATAAAACATATTCACCCATAAAATCAAGCTACATCATATATAGTTTGAGCCCAATGTCTCCATACAACTAGTCTATCACCAGGATTACATATTCAATAACGGTAAATAGGGATGCACCGATACATAGTGTTTTGGCCAGTAATAGTACTAAATGCTCTGATACTCATCCCGATAACAACAGTGCCGCAAGGGAATATGAAGTCGGCTTCCCGGCCATTCAGGAAGCCGGGACTGCAGGTAATGACCCGCCTCCCAGCTTCCTGATTGGCTGGGAAGCTGGCTTCCTGGCCAATCAGCATGTAGCCGGCCAAACAGCATGGAGCAATCAGGAAGCTGGGCAGCGGGTAATGACCCCTCCCGCCTTCCTAATTGGCCTAAACTCATGTTCTAACCCTTCCCTGCTCTGCCAAAAACGAAAAGTTTTGGCAAAAAAAAAAAATACTTGAAGAAGAATCTTTAATGGGGCTTGGCAAGTCACATGTCATGAATATAGTAATTGTATTATAGTATATCTGAATATGGTCACATAGGAATGTAGCAGTATTCAGTTACAAGACTCTAGGTCCTTCGTCCCCTTTACCCTTTTTGAAATGTCTTTATATTTTCTGGAAAACTTTGTATAGAAGGACATATCAAAGACCAGACATCCTATTAGCATTTGACAGACCTTTAATAGAGAGCTTGAGAACCTTTTTTTTTTTTTTCCCCATAATGACCTTTAGTAAAACTACATAGACAGAAAAATGTCTCTGCCTAATGAATCCAATCTGCTAGCTGGATTCTATATGCAAGGCAGAAATCATTTTGAAATAGTGCTTGCTACACAGATAAAAATAGCAGGCGTTTAAGGAATCAATGCCATTGTGAATAAAGCTGGTTCAAAAGAACAAGACTTTTCACAGAGGTGCGACAAGGATCTATAGGGCTAGCCATACTCATTAAAATATCTATTGAGAAGTCAAAAGTAAGGCAAAGAGCAGGATAACAATACCAGATAGGCAAATACCATAGTTCCTTTGCAACTCTTTTTTAACATTGAAAGTTTACTTTCATATTAAAATCACTATATTATCATAAAATGATTGTGCAACTTCCCCCCAAAAAATATTATGTATAATGGCCACTTCTTTGTGTTTGCTTAGCGCACACTTGTGGCAAATGTACATCCTGTATGTGGATATTACAGAGCTTACTATTTAAGCATACACATGTATAGAGGAAAAAGCATCACAATGGACTAAACTGATTGTTCTGATGCAATTTTAAAGTTTTTATGTCTGGCCCCAAAGCTTTTAGTGGCAAAGGGGGAAGTCATTCAGGAGTTGTGGTCAAGAAAGTCCCGCTGGCCCATGTGTTTAAGGCAGCCACAGTATCAACTGGTAGAGAGGGGAGAAGAGTCCCGGTGACTCAGCATGTGTCAACTGTCTACTGCTCTCCAACCTTTTGTTACATTGTTTTACTGAATTATAAACATACTGACAGTGTATTTGCAGGGTACGGAGCATGCACAATAGTTGACATGCATGCACAGTAGCACATTCACCACCATTTTGGGTTAGTCCAAATGTGAATGAAGACCACATCCTTCCACACCTACTAAACCTGGCCATCACACTAAATATGGCAGCTACGGTACACCAAATCATAAGTTCCTTTAGCTCCAGCTCTTTAAGCTGGAGTTTTCCCTGATTATTATTCTGTTTTGTTAAGAGTTTTTTTTACTGTGTTCCCACCTCTCATTTGGGCAGATGTCTACCCCAAAAAACTATACCCTGTGTCTCTTTATGAAGATTTTGTACTTATCATAAAATCCTCTTGAGGTTCATTTAGGGATACAGGTTCCAACCCTCTGTGATCTACTCCTAAGGACTGCTCTTCCACACAACTGTAGCATGCTTTGTTTGCTAGGGTCCTAATCCTCTTGTAGGTAACAGTATAACCCAATGTCAGTTTCTGAGAAACAGTGCCTATAATGACTCATCTATTTGAATGGTCTGTTTACCTTGAACTAGGAGCCTCCAGGGCCTGGTATCTGCTCATTTACACAACACCTTTAAACCTTAAAAGTAGATGTAACCCTTAATAGTAACACTTTGACACTACATTCCTCTATTCCACATAATCTACATCCTAGTTCCATTTATTAATACACTGAATAAAACTTGCACTTAGTACATGATGATCCTGCCAATCTCCTTGCTTCCCTAACATGTGCCAGAGTTCCAGGAAGTAAAGGGATATATACTAATCCGCCCTTAGTAAAAATTGCCACTGTGGAGGAACCCATATCTTCAAAATAACAACAAAGGCAACTTTAGAAATGTTAAGTAATGACAATCTAAAAACACATACTTCTAGATAATTGCCGACTTTTTATTCTTTGCATACCTTATTTTTCTTTTCCTCCTCATTCTTCTCAGTTACCTCAGGGCAGGTTACTAGATCTCTTTTTACTTCCTGGAACTCTGGCAAATGTGACCATGCACATCATCTCAGGGGAGGAAAGTGCCTTTCCCTGAGATCTCGTGGGAATACAGATGAAATTTCCCAGCTGATGTAACCTTCCCAGGATGCAACACTTGGGCACATTACATAATTTGTGAAAAATTGGACCAGGAAGTAAAAAAAATAAATTGTAATTAAAACAAAAATATGTTTGTTTAGCTAATGAATGCTTTCTCACAGCAAATATCCCTCAACAACTTAAGACTCAAAACCGCCAGCACGAAAATGACATACAGATATAACTGCTCATCTATACTGCTCATCATATAAAAATACTGACAAAAGCAGTGTGGGCAAAACAAATACCAAATCTGAAACGCTAAACTGTTCATCATCGATGGGAGTCTCAGGGACAAACATATTGACAAGCCACAGACGGAGAATTTCACTGAATGTAAATCTTTGTTTCACTGATTCAGGTGTGAAGAAATCGATCAGGAAGAGAGATGGATGAGAATTGAGCAGGAGTTCTCTGAGCAACAAGAGACTGATTACAAATACACAGAGACCGTAAACAGGATTAATTGCTGCTCTCTAGGTGTCATATTATGGCTGAAGATGCGTTTTCCTGTCTGCATGCTTTGTGTTAAAGGAATCTGAGAAACTTTTGTAAATGCAAATAAAATGCTTGATGATTTTTTAATATTACTTTTGCCTTCCCTGATTACATAAAGGCTATATTGTTAGTGGATACTTTTCTCATCAGTGGTCCCATGCAGCCTACAGAGGACCACATCCTCCTACCTCTAACATTTGGCCCCAGACAATCAGAATGGCTGACTAATAAAATTGGAGGCTTGAGCTGTACCTTCACTTGCAGGCATGGGCCACGAGATGGAAAACCCTGGGAACCACCATGAGGATGTTGCAGTGTCAAGCCTTCTAGAGTACTTATTTCATTCAGGCAATTGCAGCTGACAGGTAAAATGGCAAGGCTTGGTGGGCTATATTTATTTATTACAGGTTTATATAGTGTCTACAATTTACGTAGAATTTTACACAGAGCACATTCACACCATTCCCTGCCCTCAAAAAGCTTACCATCTAAGCTCCCTATCTCACATGTATACACACAAGGGCCAATTTAGACAGGAGCCACTTAACCTACCAGCATGTCTTTGGCGTGTGGGGGGGGGGAAACTCACGCAAGCACAGGGAGAACATGCAAAATCCTTGCAAATAGTGAACTGGTCGGGATTCAAACCAGGGACCCCCACTGCTGCAAGGCAAAAGTGCTAAGCACTACACCACTGTGCTTTAGTATATAACTTCTAATCCTTTCAGACATTGTTATGAAACATAATATCCTTTCCTGACTTACACTTTCATATTGGCATACAATACTATTTGAAAGTAGCTGCATGATGAACAGTTCTTAGTTTGTGGTTCTGACGTTATCTTTTTCTTCAAACTCGTAAAGCATTTCCTGCTAGCTCAGTAAAGTACAAAAACTCCATTTATGATACTGCCATGTGGTCACTCCCACCATATTACACATCAAGCTGCACTAAAAAAGTGAAATACCAGTTCTGGGAGTAAGCACACATTTGAGATACACATTGTATAGGGGAGCTACTTTCTCAGCCAAAGGACTTGTTATTCTGCTCAGCATGTTTTATTATCTGCACTCCCATGCCCGACAGCATGGACAGGCCTTTGACTCAGCTACCCTGCTCTTTGAACAACGATGGAACAAGCACACAGGTCAGTCACTACTTTGCGCTTTTCTCCTATGAGTATGTTCTCTGTCAATATATGTGCCCTGCAGCAGAGAAAGACTGACTCCTAGTGCTAGTTCTCCCCTTCCCAGTAAGGAGTCTGCCTGAGCAGAGATTTACAGGAGGTTAATTCTAGTATTTACACAACTTGCACTTAGAATTCCTTTTAATGATTTCTTAATGAATACATTAGTGTATTAATTGGTTTGGCTTTAAGTAAATTTGGTTATTCTTAAATTGAAACCTAATGACTACTTATGTGCCCTCTCAAGGAAAATCTCAATGATAACTTAATAGTTGCTGACAACCCCTACTCTATATTAAATTACAAAAAGGTGCAGGCGTAAACACAAAAGACTACGCAGCGCACAAACACTAGGATGAAAGGGCATTTTCCCTGCGCATTTTTTTGAACTCTGATATATACAGTAGCTTGTGCATACTAAAATAAAAATGAACTGTAGAAGACACCATTCTGTAGCATAAAAATACATGATAAATGACTGTACAGTCCATATTCCATGCACTTTAAACTTTGAATATAGTATCAACCTTTACCAATTGCATTGCTGTATACTTGCACATTGAAAAGATTTTGTATGCAATCGACTTTTGCCACCTGGACAGGAAGTGAGTAAAATCTCATCAATAGAGAAACAGACAGGAACAACAACCAGAGCATCTAACCCTTCTCCAGTCTATTCACATCAATGAAAGAAAAGTTTGGCTGGGCTTCTAGCTTAAGATCTGGATGCTTTATATTATTCCTGACCCAGTGGTTGGGTAATGCTTCCACAGTCCCTCTTATTTTAACTAAAGTATAGACCATAACAAGAAATCTGTATATTCTGGAACATCGTAATTACTCATAAACATTAGCTTACCTATATGTCTTCCATACATATGATAGAAAACACTAAAACAATAAGCTGCATTGCTGGACCCATAGGGATTCTTCTGCGCTATGTTAAATACAGGGCTGAGTAGTCGAGCTGTCTCTCCTTCTAGCCGAGGTCGTGATGTTTCAATATACATGTAGAACCCTAGCAAAGAAAACACACGTATCAACACTCATCCAGAGATATTACTACATTAAAGGGACCCTGTCGCCAGATTATTAAAGGATATTTCAACCCTCAAGGGTTTTTGCATATATCTACTGCTTGCACGCTTAACTGTGTCTCTACTGCGTGCTCCCGTCCGAAGATCTGAAAAATCTCAGGCGGCCGCTAAGGATCATGGGGGGGGGGGGGGGGTGAGAGCA